CTAGTATGCGTCACAAGTTTGCGGCCCAGCGACGTGAGGATTCCGAGACATCTCTTGTTTTTCGCACCGCTCTTATTTTGCTTGCGCAGGCAGCTTACCCTAGAATGGACAAGGAGGGGTTGGATGCCTTAGTTTTGGACCGCATGCTAGGGTTGGCCCAGGAGCTCGACGTCACACTTCCAGCTACCGACGATGATGGCTTGACGTCGCTGCGGGTCGCGAGGTCTTTTCAGACTCACCTCATTGGCAAGCGCAGGGCGAAGGTAGTGGCGTGTGCGGGTCCGGCTAAGGAGGAATCGGACGATTAGGGGGAGCCCTCTCAGGCTTTTGAGTTGCTTAACGAGGGCGGCTGGAAGAAGAACCGTCCGGGACGGAGGGACAATCGTGATCAACGGATGGGGGCCTCATCCAAGCCTGCGTCATCCCCCGTCGTGTGCTTCAAGTGCGGCTATCCGGGCCACATCTCCAAGGGGTGCAGCACCGATCCTGGGAGTACATCCCGGATGCTGGCGTCTTCGGGGCGTCCCTCCTCCGGACCACAGGGCTCACAGGCGAGTCGGGCTGCACCTCACATCCGGCCCTCGCATTCACATCACGCATCGATGACGGACGTTGATCGCCACTCGCGGGGGGGGGGGAGGGCCGTCAGCTTGCACAGTGGGGCGTGTACGTCGAGAATCGGCGGTGGATGGGTGGCCATTACGACCTGCTCAGTGGTCGGAGTTGGGCCAACGTATTGTGGCGGTGGCCATGGCTTCGTCGGCTGTCATCGGCTCATTGCAGGGATGGAGGTGCGGATGCTGGTTGATACGGGAGCATCCGCTACCATTATATCTGAAACCATTTTTGAATGCTTGCCCACTAAATCGGCTAACCTCCGTCCAGTTGATGTCCCGAGTTTTGCAGCAAATGGCAGTTCCTTGGGTATTGTGGGTCAAGTGTTGGCTACCGTTGCCATTGGCGATATTCAATTAACCGGGCCTGTGCTGGTCTCTGAATCATTGGCAGTTCCCTGCTTGCTCGGTATGGATTTCCTTGGCAAAATGCCCCTAAAAATCCTCGTCGACCAGGGGTGCCTGGAATTTCCATCCGGCCATAGGATGGTCTTTTTGCCCTCCCCCACTCGACTGGGAAGAGTAAACGTGGTGGTTCCGGCGCTCGTGTGGATACGGTTCAGATTCCCCCTGGAGCGCAAATGCTCGTGCCCTTGTGTCTCAAGCCATTTCCTGCAAAAGTCGGTGCGATACCTTTGGTCACGTGGTCAGCGAATCGGGAATAGCGACGGACCCTGACAAAACAGCGTGCGTGCGTAGGTGGCCGACCCCCAAAACGGTGGGCGAGGTGCGCAGTTTTGTGGGGTTCGCCTCCTATCACCGCCGATTTGTACCTGGCTTTGCCACTATAGCCAAACTGCTCCATGTCCTCACTGCCAAGGGCCAAAAATTTCGTTGGGGAGTCGAAGAAGAGGTGGCATTTGTAGCTTTATGGGAGGGATTGGTCAAGCACCCCCTCTCCACTATCCCGATTTCTCACGACCCTTTCTTCTCAACACAAACGCCAGTGACACCGGGATTGGCGCTGTGCTATCCTAGGTCGTTGATGGTATCGAAAGAGTGGTGGCATATGGAAGTCGTGTGTTATCACCTGCTGAACAACGATATTGCATGACGCGCCGGGAATTGCTGGTCATCGTACATTTTGTGCAGGAATACCGACCGTACCTCTATGGGAGGGCGTTTCAGGTGCGGTCGGATCACGCGGTCCTTCAGTATGGACTACAGGTGGAACAACCGTCCGGGCAACTATCGAGGTGATTGGAAGTCCTGCAGGACTATACCTTTACGGTCTTGTACAGGAAAGGGGTTCGCCATAATAATGCGGACGCTCGTTCAAGGTTACCGCCTCGCACCTCATATGCATGCCTCATGGGCGAGAGCGTGACCCACCAATTGACGCGCAGCTCAGACCAACGCAACAATGTGCTAAAATGGCTGACCCCATGCAGCTTACCCTGCAACGGTTGGCAGAGGCTCGGGAGGCGGCTAGGGGCAACTCGGCCCTGAGGCAGGCGGCCAATGAACGGCTTTTCAAACCACACCTGTCCTCAACAATATGGGCACCGGGAGACAAAGCGTGGCTCCACTGCCCCCAGGTCCCAGTGGGCACCTCTCCCAAATTGCACAGGCCATGGCAGGGGCCTGTGGAAGTAGTGGAAGTCAGGAGTCCTCAATGCGTGCGGATTCAATTGGGTCGTCGCCGTTGGTTTGTGTACCCGTCGCGGCTGAAACGTTTTTTTCCACCTGATGTGGACTCTTCATCTCCACTTCCCGAGGGCCGGGTGTCAGGTCGGCCTGACGAGCTGAAGCGCGTGTCGGCTGATGTCTCGCCTCAGGGCAGTTTTGTAATTCCGCCCACATGGTCCACGCGTCTAGCGCCCTCGACGTCGCAGGGGGTTCCGGTCCACAGAGAACGGGGAAGTCCGAGGACACCATCACCTGACCCGCCGCTTGACACGCTCCCGCCTCGGGGGGTGCCAGGGGCTTCGGGTCATCCTCCGGCTGTTCCCGGATCCTCCAGGGGACCGCTTGATGGGCCAGCGTCGAGGACTCGGGCAAAGACTGCGCTGTTTAAATGACCATCCTTTAGAGTCCAGGTGCACTGGCACTCGGCAGTCGTGGGTGCCAACCCCGGCCACATGGGTCAATGGCTGATCCGGGCTCATTGTATGTTCGGGCACGGCGCCACATGTGCGGGGGGGTGTTGTCTTGGAGATTGGTCTGCCTTGTAAATAGTTATAATCTTTTGGGGGGTCAATTGATCCCGGTATGTTCTCTGGTTCGCCTTGTTCTATATATTGTGTAAATAAGTATTTAGCTTAGGCCGAGTTAATTGTTATTATTGTTATTGTTGCGTTGATGTTGGAGGCCCACGCGTTACGTTGTATATGAAGGTTGGTCAGCTGAGACGGCTGAGTTTCACAAAGGGGGGGGGGCGGTGATGTAGGGACGTAAATGGCGTCCCTGGGGTGTGACTGTTGTGAGGAGACACGCTCCCTCACCTGCACTTACCTACCGATGGGGTCTCGAGGGGCCTGTCACGCTGGCTCGGGCTCCATCGGGAGAGGCAGGGGAAGTGACGTGGCAAGAGGCGGGGTGGGGCCACGCTCAGTGAAGGGGAAGGGAAGAGGCGGGGCCTTCGGACAGTGTCGAACAGTCGGTGTGGGGAACTGATGGTGGATGGTCACGCCGGGGGAAGTGGGAGCCGACGGTGTTAGGGCTCCAAGTATGAAGAATCCTCCCTCTCTCTCGTTGGGGTCTAGAGTAGCCTTGTTGTAGCCGATACTGTTAAAGTGAATAAAGTGTGGTGCCTCCTATCCCAGTGTGTGCCTCGTCAGACACGCATTACACATGCGCACCTCACACACACCCTCAAATTACCAACACCACACCGCCACTGCAGCTCTATGCTCACTCTCTCGCGCACACCGTCCGCCCCACGCAGTCGCACCACACACAAATTGCAGACACCACGCCGATGTTCTACTCACACACAGAAATCACACTGCGCCGATACTCGGAACTAAAAGTTTATTAACGGCGCAAATACACTCTACCTGGAGGGGGAATATTTTGCGAGAAGAGCTTAGCCTAACTCTGCCTATGAACCCAGTCACTCAAACGTCCTACCACGTACCTCATAGTTGTACTCACAGCGTCGCATGGACGCTGTGAGAGTCGAAGGGAGAAGGACGAGCGAAAACCTCACCTATCACTGCCTCGTAGCAGCACTCGCTGGCAACACACAGATGCTGCAAGCGGCTCGAGGAGGCAGGACGGCAGGGAATGGGTCTTGATGGCCCGGAGATTGAAGACAACTGACTTACAATCATCCTGGGTTACTCTTTTTATTATCTAAACTTCAAAGGCCCAGGGTGACGTTGTACCGCACAGACAATCGTGTGCTTACCCGCGCCGTCGTCCACCGTTTCTACCGTGTTGCCTAATGCCCTCACTTCAAAGGCCCAGGGTGGCATTGTACCGCGCGGACAATCGTGCGCTTACCTGCGGTTACCACTGCCCCCCCTCCCCCACTTGTGACCGGCGGGCGGCGGCGGCCACCCATTATCCCTTTGTCTTCCGCTCTTCTCGCTCAGGGTTCCGTCCTCCGTTCTCCCTCCCCGAGTTGTACTTTATTGCGGTTGGCCCAGGGAACCTTTTCTTTCTGCGCCCATATAATTTTAAACCAATTTTAGGGGCATCGCAATGTAACCTGCCCTGCGAGGGTCGGCCAATCTCCTGGCAACGGGAAACCGTGGTACTCTCCCTGCAGGTGCGCTTTGGATTAAAACCGGATGTAGCAGGCAACCCCCCGCCAGGACACTGCGTGGGTGCGCTGCGTGCGGGTTTGTGTTTAGTGCGGGGGTCGGGAGAGAATCGCGGCGCTTGCGGAGTTGCTTCGCGTGGCACCACATATTTACGCGATCAAACTAAAATATATATCTATTATGGATAATATTGGTCGCAATAGCCTACTACGTGTTAAACTAACGAAGCGAGTTATCTCGCGGTGGAGAGATGTTATCTCCCTCGCCTGGTATGCAGGAGGTCGTGTGTTCTATCCCGGCCCTGACAATGCCTGCTGTGTATTGGGAGTTTGCATGTCTCTCTCCCCGTGGTCCCGTTAAGTTTTTTTCCGGGTTTTATGGTTTTTCCCTCCACATTTAGAATCAACATCACCACATGTTTCGAGTGTTTGGCTGCTGCCACACATTCTCTAATGGTAATGTCAGCCACTTCGTTGGGCTATAATTTGTGGCCAGGTCGCTTCTGAAAAAATAGCTAATAGCTCGGTGGGCCTTAGCTGCTAAAATAAAACGTGAAATAGTTGTTTTAGTTTCGAGTTATTTAGTGTACAGCGTCTGTAAATCGATGGGAGGATCGCAAAAAACGATACGAATCGATTGTCCGTGACTCCGCCTTTGTGTCGCCGCGTACCCGGATGTCGACGCGCGGGGCAATGCGGGTGACGTCACCATAGCAACGAGACGGGGAGAGAAGCAAACAGGTCAACTCACGCTCCTCACTCGCTCCTCACACTCCTTCCTCACTCACTCCTCACTCACTCCTCACACTCCCTCCTCACTCACTCCTCACACTCCCTCCTCACTCACTCCTCACACTCCCTCCTCACTCACTCCTCACTCACTCCTCACATTCCCTCCTCACTCCTCACTCACTCCTCACTCACTCCTCACTCGCTCCTCACACTCCCTCCTCACACTCCCTCCTCACTCACTCCTCACACTCACTCCTCACACTCCCTCCTCACTCACTCCTCACACTCACTCCTCACTCACTCCTCACACTCCCTCCTCACACTCCCTCCTCACTCACTCCTCACACTCCCTCCTCACTCACTCCTCACACTCACTCCTCACACTCCCTCCTCACTCACTCCTCACACTCACTCCTCACACTCCCTCCTCACACTCACTCCTCACACTCCCTCCTCACTCACTCCTCACTCCCTCCTCACACTCCCTCCTCACTCACTCCTCACACTCCCTCCTCACACTCCCTCCTCACTCACTCCTCACTCACTCCTCACATTCCCTCCTCACTCCTCACTCACTCCTCACTCACTCCTCACTCGCTCCTCACACTCCCTCCTCACACTCCCTCCTCACTCACTCCTCACACTCACTCCTCACACTCCCTCCTCACTCACTCCTCACACTCCCTCCTCACTCACTCCTCACTCACTCCTCACATTCCCTCCTCACTCCTCACTCACTCCTCACTCACTCCTCACTCGCTCCTCACACTCCCTCCTCACACTCCCTCCTCACTCACTCCTCACACTCACTCCTCACACTCCCTCCTCACTCACTCCTCACACTCACTCCTCACTCACTCCTCACACTCCCTCCTCACACTCCCTCCTCACTCACTCCTCACACTCCCTCCTCACTCACTCCTCACACTCACTCCTCACACTCCCTCCTCACTCACTCCTCACACTCACTCCTCACACTCCCTCCTCACACTCACTCCTCACACTCCCTCCTCACTCACTCCTCACTCCCTCCTCACACTCCCTCCTCACTCACTCCTCACACTCCCTCCTCACTCCCTCCTCACACTCGCTCCTCACACTCCCTCCTCACTCACTCCTCACACTCCCTCCTCACACTCCCTCCTCACTCCCTCCTCACACTCCTCACACTCCCTCCTCACACTCACTCCTCACACTCCCTCCTCACTCACTCCTCACACTCCCTCCTCACACTCACTCCTCACACTCCCTCCTCACTCACTCCTCACACTCCCTCCTCACTCACTCCTCACACTCACTCCTCACACTCCCTCCTCACTCACTCCTCACACTCCCTCCTCACACACTTCTCACACTCCCTCCTCACACTCCCTCCTCAATCCTCACACTCCCTCCTCACTCACTCATCACACTCCCTCCTCACACTCCCTCCTCACTCCCTCCTCACACTCCTCACACTCCCTCCTCACACTCCCTCCTCACTCCCTCCTCACTCCCTCCTCACACTCCCTCCTCACTCACTCCTCACACTCCCTCCTCACTCACTCCTCACACTCCCTCCTCACTCCCTCCTCACACTCCCTCCTCACACTCCCTCCTCACACTCCTCACACTCCCTCCTCACACTCCCTCCTCACTCCCTCCTCACTCCCTCCTCACACTCCTCACACTCCCTCCTCACACTTCCTCCTCACTCACTCCTCACACTCCCTCCTCACACTCCCTCCACACTCACTCCTCACACTCCCTCCTCACTCCCTCCTCACTCCCTCCTCACTCCCTCCTCACTCACTCCTCACACTCCCTCCTCACACTCCTCACACTCACTCCTCACACTCCCTCCTCACACTCACTCCTCACACTCCCTCCTCACTCACTCCTCACACTCCCTCCTCACACTCCCTCCTCACACTCACTCCTCACACTCCCTCCTCACACTCCTCACACTTGCTTCTCACACTCCTCACACTCGCTCCTCACACTCCCTTCTCACACTCCTCACACTCCCTTCTCACACTCCTCACAATCCTCCCCTCACTCTTGCCACTCACTGCTCATACTCTCACTGCTAACCCTATCGCACCTGTGGTGTGATGGTGATGGTGGTGAGGCATGGTGGTGAGGCTGTGTGGTGATGGTGGTGAGGCTGTCTGGTGATGGTGGTGAGGCTGTGTGGTGATGGTGGTGAGGCTGTCTGGTGATGATGGTGAGGCTGCGTGGTGATGGTGGTGAGGCTGCGTGGTGATGGTGGTGAGGCTGCGTGGTGATGGTGGTGAGGCTGTGTGGTGATGGTGGTGAGGCTGTGTGGTGATGGTGGTGAGGCTGACTGGTGATGGTGGTGAGGCTGCGTGGTGATGGTGGTGAGGCTGTCTGGTGATGGTGGTGAGGCTGTGTGGTGATGGTGGTGAGGCTGTGTGGAGATGGTGGTGAGGCTGTCTGGTGATGGTGGTGAGGCTGCGTGGTGATGATGGTGAGGCTGTGTGGTGATGGTGGTGAGGCTGTCTGGTGATGGTGGTGAGGCTGCGTGGTGATGGTGGTGAGGCTGTGTGGTGATGGTGGTGAGGCTGCGTGGTGATGATGGTGAGGCTGCGTGGTGATGGTGGTGAGGCTGTGTGGTGATGGTGGTGAGGCTGTCTGGTGATGATGGTGAGGCTGCGTGGTGATGGTGGTGAGGCTGTGTGGTGATGGTGGTGAGGCTGCGTGGTGATGGTGGTGAGGCTGTGTGGTGATGGTGGTGAGGCTGTCTGGTGATGGTGGTGAGGCTGTCTGGTGATGATGGTGAGGCTGCGTGGTGATGATGGTGAGGCTGCGTGGTGATGGTGGTGAGGCTGCGTGGTGATGGTGGTGAGGCTGTGTGGTGATGGTGGTGAGGCTGTGTGGTGATGGTGGTGAGGCTGACTGGTGATGGTGGTGAGGCTGCGTGGTGATGGTGGTGAGGCTGTCTGGTGATGGTGGTGAGGCTGTGTGGTGATGGTGGTGAGGCTGTGTGGAGATGGTGGTGAGGCTGTCTGGTGATGGTGGTGAGGCTGCGTGGTGATGATGGTGAGGCTGTGTGGTGATGGTGGTGAGGCTGTCTGGTGATGGTGGTGAGGCTGCGTGGTGATGGTGGTGAGGCTGTGTGGTGATGGTGGTGAGGCTGCGTGGTGATGATGGTGAGGCTGCGTGGTGATGGTGGTGAGGCTGTGTGATGATGGTGGTGAGGCTGTCTGGTGATGATGGTGAGGCTGCGTGGTGATGGTGGTGAGGCTGCGTGGTGATGGTGGTGAGGCTGCGTGGTGATGGTGGTGAGGCTGTGTGGTGATGGTGGTGAGGCTGTGTGGTGATGGTGGTGAGGCTGCGTGGTGATGATGGTGAGGCTGTGTGGTGATGGTGGTGAGGCTGCGTGGTGATGGTGGTGAGGCTGTGTGGTGATGGTGGTGAGGCTGTCTGGTGATGGTGGTGAGGCTGTCTGGTGATGATGGTGAGGCTGCGTGGTGATGATGGTGAGGCTGCGTGGTGATGGTGGTGAGGCTGCGTGGTGATGGTGGTGAGGCTGTGTGGTGATGGTGGTGAGGCTGCGTGGTGATGGTGGTGAGGCTGTGTGGTGATGGTGGTGAGGCTGCGTGGTGATGGTGGTGAGGCTGTGTGGTGATGGTGGTGAGGCTGTCTGGTGATGGTGGTGAGGCTGTCTGGTGATGATGGTGAGGCTGCGTGGTGATGATGGTGAGGCTGCGTGGTGATGGTGGTGAGGCTGCGTGGTGATGGTGGTGAGGCTGTGTGGTGATGGTGGTGAGGCTGCGTGGTGATGGTGGTGAGGCTGTGTGGTGATGGTGGTGAGGCTGCGTGGTGATGGTGGTGAGGCTGTGTGGTGATGGTGGTGAGGCTGTCTGGTGATGGTGGTGAGGCTGCGTGGTGATGGTGGTGAGGCTGTCTGGTGATGGTGGTGAGGCTGCGTGGTGATGGTGGTGAGGCTGCGTGGTGATGGTGGTGAGGCTGCGTGGTGATGGTGGTGAGGCTGTGTGGTGATGGTGGTGAGGCTGTCTGGTGATGGTGGTGAAACTGTGTGGTGATGGTGGTGAGGCTGCGTGGTGATGGTGGTGAGGCTGCGTGGTGATGGTGGTGAGGCTGCGTGGTGATGGTGGTGAGGCTGCGTGGTGATGGTGGTGAGGCTGTATGGTGATGGTGGTGAGGCTGTGTGGTGATGGTGGTGAGGCTGCGTGGTGATGGTGGTGAGGCTGTGTGGTGATGGTGGTGAGGCTGTGTGGTGATGGTGGTGAGGCTGACTGGTGATGGTGGTGAGGCTGCGTGGTGATGGTGGTGAGGCTGTCTGGTGATGGTGGTGAGGCTGTGTGGTGATGGTGGTGAGGCTGTGTGGAGATGGTGGTGAGGCTGTCTGGTGATGGTGGTGAGGCTGCGTGGTGATGATGGTGAGGCTGTGTGGTGATGGTGGTGAGGCTGTCTGGTGATGGTGGTGAGGCTGCGTGGTGATGGTGGTGAGGCTGTGTGGTGATGGTGGTGAGGCTGCGTGGTGATGATGGTGAGGCTGCGTGGTGATGGTGGTGAGGCTGTGTGGTGATGGTGGTGAGGCTGTCTGGTGATGATGGTGAGGCTGCGTGGTGATGGTGGTGAGGCTGCGTGGTGATGGTGGTGAGGCTGCGTGGTGATGGTGGTGAGGCTGTGTGGTGATGGTGGTGAGGCTGTGTGGTGATGGTGGTGAGGCTGCGTGGTGATGATAGTGAGGCTGTGTGGTGATGGTGGTGAGGCTGCGTGGTGATGGTGGTGAGGCTGTGTGGTGATGGTGGTGAGGCTGTCTGGTGATGGTGGTGAGGCTGTCTGGTGATGATGGTGAGGCTGCGTGGTGATGATGGTGAGGCTGGGTGGTGATGGTGGTGAGGCTGCGTGGTGATGGTGGTGAGGCTGTGTGGTGATGGTGGTGAGGCTGTGTGGTGATGGTGGTGAGGCTGACTGGTGATGGTGGTGAGGCTGCGTGGTGATGGTGGTGAGGCTGTCTGGTGATGGTGGTGAGGCTGTGTGGTGATGGTGGTGAGGCTGTGTGGAGATGGTGGTGAGGCTGTCTGGTGATGGTGGTGAGGCTGCGTGGTGATGATGGTGAGGCTGTGTGGTGATGGTGGTGAGGCTGTCTGGTGATGGTGGTGAGGCTGCGTGGTGATGGTGGTGAGGCTGTGTGGTGATGGTGGTGAGGCTGCGTGGTGATGATGGTGAGGCTGCGTGGTGATGGTGGTGAGGCTGTGTGATGATGGTGGTGAGGCTGTCTGGTGATGATGGTGAGGCTGCGTGGTGATGGTGGTGAGGCTGCGTGGTGATGGTGGTGAGGCTGCGTGGTGATGGTGGTGAGGCTGTGTGGTGATGGTGGTGAGGCTGTGTGGTGATGGTGGTGAGGCTGCGTGGTGATGATGGTGAGGCTGTGTGGTGATGGTGGTGAGGCTGCGTGGTGATGGTGGTGAGGCTGTGTGGTGATGGTGGTGAGGCTGTCTGGTGATGGTGGTGAGGCTGTCTGGTGATGATGGTGAGGCTGCGTGGTGATGATGGTGAGGCTGCGTGGTGATGGTGGTGAGGCTGCGTGGTGATGGTGGTGAGGCTGTGTGGTGATGGTGGTGAGGCTGCGTGGTGATGGTGGTGAGGCTGTGTGGTGATGGTGGTGAGGCTGCGTGGTGATGGTGGTGAGGCTGTGTGGTGATGGTGGTGAGGCTGTCTGGTGATGGTGGTGAGGCTGTCTGGTGATGATGGTGAGGCTGCGTGGTGATGATGGTGAGGCTGCGTGGTGATGGTGGTGAGGCTGTGTGGTGATGGTGGTGAGGCTGCGTGGTGATGGTGGTGAGGCTGTGTGGTGATGGTGGTGAGGCTGCGTGGTGATGGTGGTGAGGCTGTGTGGTGATGGTGGTGAGGCTGTCTGGTGATGGTGGTGAGGCTGCGTGGTGATGGTGGTGAGGCTGTCTGGTGATGGTGGTGAGGCTGCGTGGTGATGGTGGTGAGGCTGCGTGGTGATGGTGGTGAGGCTGCGTGGTGATGGTGGTGAGGCTGTGTGGTGATGGTGGTGAGGCTGTCTGGTGATGGTGGTGAGGCTGTGTGGTGATGGTGGTGAGGCTGCGTGGTGATGGTGGTGAGGCTGCGTGGTGATGGTGGTGAGGCTGCGTGGTGATGGTGGTGAGGCTGCGTGGTGATGGTGGTGAGGCTGCGTGGTGATGGTGGTGAGGCTGTATGGTGATGGTGGTGAGGCTGTGTGGTGATGGTGGTGAGGCTGCGTGGTGATGGTGGTGAGGCTGTGTGGTGATGGTGGTGAGGCTGTGTGGTGATGGTGGTGAGGCTGACTGGTGATGGTGGTGAGGCTGCGTGGTGATGGTGGTGAGGCTGTCTGGTGATGGTGGTGAGGCTGTGTGGTGATGGTGGTGAGGCTGTGTGGAGATGGTGGTGAGGCTGTCTGGTGATGGTGGTGAGGCTGCGTGGTGATGATGGTGAGGCTGTGTGGTGATGGTGGTGAGGCTGTCTGGTGATGGTGGTGAGGCTGCGTGGTGATGGTGGTGAGGCTGTGTGGTGATGGTGGTGAGGCTGCGTGGTGATGATGGTGAGGCTGCGTGGTGATGGTGGTGAGGCTGTGTGGTGATGGTGGTGAGGCTGTCTGGTGATGATGGTGAGGCTGCGTGGTGATGGTGGTGAGGCTGCGTGGTGATGGTGGTGAGGCTGCGTGGTGATGGTGGTGAGGCTGTGTGGTGATGGTGGTGAGGCTGTGTGGTGATGGTGGTGAGGCTGCGTGGTGATGATGGTGAGGCTGTGTGGTGATGGTGGTGAGGCTGCGTGGTGATGGTGGTGAGGCTGTGTGGTGATGGTGGTGAGGCTGTCTGGTGATGGTGGTGAGGCTGTCTGGTGATGATGGTGAGGCTGCGTGGTGATGATGGTGAGGCTGGGTGGTGATGGTGGTGAGGCTGCGTGGTGATGGTGGTGAGGCTGTGTGGTGATGGTGGTGAGGCTGTGTGGTGATGGTGGTGAGGCTGACTGGTGATGGTGGTGAGGCTGCGTGGTGATGGTGGTGAGGCTGTCTGGTGATGGTGGTGAGGCTGTGTGGTGATGGTGGTGAGGCTGTGTGGAGATGGTGGTGAGGCTGTCTGGTGATGGTGGTGAGGCTGCGTGGTGATGATGGTGAGGCTGTGTGGTGATGGTGGTGAGGCTGTCTGGTGATGGTGGTGAGGCTGCGTGGTGATGGTGGTGAGGCTGTGTGGTGATGGTGGTGAGGCTGCGTGGTGATGATGGTGAGGCTGCGTGGTGATGGTGGTGAGGCTGTGTGATGATGGTGGTGAGGCTGTCTGGTGATGATGGTGAGGCTGCGTGGTGATGGTGGTGAGGCTGCGTGGTGATGGTGGTGAGGCTGCGTGGTGATGGTGGTGAGGCTGTGTGGTGATGGTGGTGAGGCTGTGTGGTGATGGTGGTGAGGCTGCGTGGTGATGATGGTGAGGCTGTGTGGTGATGGTGGTGAGGCTGCGTGGTGATGGTGGTGAGGCTGTGTGGTGATGGTGGTGAGGCTGTCTGGTGATGGTGGTGAGGCTGTCTGGTGATGATGGTGAGGCTGCGTGGTGATGATGGTGAGGCTGCGTGGTGATGGTGGTGAGGCTGCGTGGTGATGGTGGTGAGGCTGTGTGGTGATGGTGGTGAGGCTGCGTGGTGATGGTGGTGAGGCTGTGTGGTGATGGTGGTGAGGCTGCGTGGTGATGGTGGTGAGGCTGTGTGGTGATGGTGGTGAGGCTGTCTGGTGATGGTGGTGAGGCTGTCTGGTGATGATGGTGAGGCTGCGTGGTGATGATGGTGAGGCTGCGTGGTGATGGTGGTGAGGCTGCGTGGTGATGGTGGTGAGGCTGTGTGGTGATGGTGGTGAGGCTGCGTGGTGATGGTGGTGAGGCTGTGTGGTGATGGTGGTGAGGCTGCGTGGTGATGGTGGTGAGGCTGTGTGGTGATGGTGGTGAGGCTGTCTGGTGATGTTGGTGAGGCTGCGTGGTGATGGTGGTGAGGCTGTCTGGTGATGGTGGTGAGGCTGCGTGGTGATGGTGGTGAGGCTGCGTGGTGATGGTGGTGAGGCTGCGTGGTGATGGTGGTGAGGCTGTGTGGTGATGGTGGTGAGGCTGTCTGGTGATGGTGGTGAGGCTGCGTGGTGATGGTGGTGAGGCTGCGTGGTGATGGTGGTGAGGCTGCGTGGTGATGGTGGTGAGGCTGCGTGGTGATGGTGGTGAGGCTGCGTGGTGATGGTGGTGAGGCTGTATGGTGATGGTGGTGAGGCTGTGTGGTGATAGCGGAGTTCTGTTCTTACACGGATGTGATGATGTTGCCCGGCGACCCGAGTTCGATTCTTGCTCACGGCCACCACCAGTGACGATTATCTGAACCGGTCCTGCGCCTCCCCTAAATCGACTCAGCCTCAAATAAGTACCTGGTACGGTGTGCAAACATAGCCACCAGGAAGACAAAGGCGGCCGGGCGTGGTGTTGGCCACCCAACCCCTCGTGTGCCGTGCTGGCCTTCAATAGGTGCTCGCTTACAGCACCTACCCCCAACAGTCTGTTAAGGATAAACGGGGGATCTTCGTCTATGTATATTCTAAACACGTCGTGTGATGGTGATGGAGAAGCGTCTCGCACAGCAGGAGCAGGATGCCTCGGGGCCGCTCTGCACGCAGCCCGCTGTCCGACATGAGTGACGTGGATCTCGATGGCCTGGGTAATCTCATCCCGCCGCACGTATGGCCTTACAAGGGCCTCGCTACTGGAGGTGACGCGGCCCAACGATAGCGCGTTCGCCGCTCGTTGTAGAAGGTTTACGGTTCGAATCCAGCGGCCGCCATGAGTATTGCTACACGCACCGTCTGCTCGTGTCATTCGCAAGAGCAGGTCATTGCGTCCACATTTGTTAAATTGACCCCCAAATTACTCAATTGGGATCACACATTTTAATCATCGCCACCTGCTTTCCAGACTCATGCCCCAAATCACTCTTGAAAATCAGACTCACCCGATCTCTTTTGTTAATCACCTGGTTCAACTGTCCCTGCAGTGGAGGACAAAAGCAGACTTAGGTACCCTATCCCTTCACCCCTTATCAGCTGAAAGCTAGATATGTGGGAACTGGCAAGAACTGGTTCAGTGAAAACACAACTCAAGGGAGGTCTGTGATCAAAGGAGAATTTGGTATATGAATGGACAATAATCTGTGGAGGCAGTACTCAATCCCTTCATTGAAGCAAATAAAACGGAGACATCTCAGTCATGTCCATTGTTCTGGAGCTCGCCACATTCACTGGGAAGGATACAGCCTTGAAGTGTGTTTGGGATTTCTAACGTGTGGATATCACCTTTCCTGTCCGAGCAGTCATGTGACAGTAGTAACCTTAAGTTACAGGGTGAAGTGTTCATGTGATGTTATTGATTAGTTCTGCTTCTGTCTATGTTCATTCAAAATCATTTAGATTGCTTTTGTTTAACAAACCACGGTCTTTGTTTGACTGGGTGGAGTCACGTGGTCATCATTACAATGCTGTATCCAACGTCGTTACATTTTATATGTGCATCTGATGATATCGAGATGCTGCAAAACAATATGATAATTTGTCTTTGTAAAAGTTAAGAACTCATCTTCAATTACTTTGCAAATATTTTTTAATACAGTATTCACCATAATCTCTTGTCTGCTTGGTTGTTAATTAATAGGCTGAAGAATGCACATTTTCTTGCTTTGATCCCCTGCCTGGGCTTGTCTGGGTCAGGGTGCCCAGGTGCAAGAGGAGGGTCGGGGTTTGGGCCTCCCAGCCTCTACTGTGTCAATGACTAAAAACCTGGGCCGTCATTGAGTTTAATGGCTCTGTAATGTGACACTGTCGCAAGTTAACTGACGAAGCCGAGTTGCTTTGTTTCGCATGGGATCAAATGGCTGAGAGTTCCATGTGGGAGCATTTCACCATCTTGCTTCAACGTTTTTGTATATTCCACAGCAGAAGGGGAACTGAGCAAGCTCCAGCGGCAGTGCCGCATCATCGAGGGCGACCGGCAAACGTACAACATGGAGTCCCAGGATCTTATCCGCAGGCAGATGTAATGTAGCCCTTCTACCTATCTCTAAAAAAATGCTACGATCATGCTGACAATGTGAAGGCTTTGAGTGCCCGCCTTACTAAAATTACCTTAACAAAGCACTGGTGTGGTGTGGCTATGTCCCCCGTGTTCAGTGGATGTATGATGAGCCGCTTGCATTCCCCTTTCTCTGTCTTTACACCATTGTGCTCTCTCCAGTATCTATCCCTTTGTGACATGCAGAAGGCAGTGAGGCGGCATGATCGTTGACTTGCTCTCTCTATTAAATATATTTGCCCACTGAAAGCCAACATTTTTTTTGGTAAGCTAAACTATTAAGCTATTTTTATTTTCCCAGGTAAAGCCTACTGAGCTATACAGTAAAACATTGGATTGCGAGCATAATTCGTTCCGGAAACATGTTTGTAATCCAAAGCACTCGTATATCATAGTACTCGTATATCAGTTGTGATCACGTGACGCTCGGCAGACAAAGCGTATACGTACTACTCGTATTGCAAGACCTCGCTCGTTTATCAAATTAATATTTATTTAAAAAATTTACTCGTCTTGCAAAACACTCGCAGACCAAGTTACTCGCAATCCAAGGTTTTACTGTATAACTATTTTTCAGAGGCGACCTGGCCACAATGATAGCTCAACGAAGTGGCTTATGTGGAAATGTATAGCAGCCAAATACTCTCAACACATGTTTCTACAGTGAGGGAAAAATATATTTGATCCCCTGCTGATTTTGTACGGTTGCCCACTGACAAAGAAATGATCAGTCTATAATTTTAATGGTAGGTTTATGTGAACAGTGAGAGACAGAATAACAACAACAAAATCCAGAAAAACGCATGTCAAAAATGTTATAAATTGATTTGCATTTTAATGAGGGAAATAAGTATTTGACCCCTCTGCAAAACATGACTTAGTACTTGGTGGCAAAACCCTTGTTGGCCATCACAGAGGTCAGACGTTTCTTGTAGTTGGCCACCAGGTTTGCACACATCTCAGGAGGGATTTTGTTCCACTTCTCTTTAAAGATCTTCTCCAAGTCATTAAGGTTTCAAGGCTGACGTTTGGAAACTCGAACCTTCAGCTCGCTCCACAGATTTTCTATGGGATTATGGTCTGGAGACTGGCTAGGCCACTCCAGGACCTTAATGTGCTGCTTCCTGAGCCACTCCTTTGTTGCCTTGGCCGTGTGTTTTGGGTCATTGTCATGATGGAATACCCATCCACGACCCATTTTCAATGCCCTGGCTGAGGGAAGGAGGTTCTCACCAAAGATTTGACGGTACATGGCCCCGTCCATCGTCCCTTTGATGCGGTGAAGTTGTCCTGTCCCCTTAGCAGAAAAACACCCCCAAAGCATAATGTTTCCACCTCCATGTTTGACGGTGGGGATGGTGTTCTTGGGGTCATAGGCAGCATTCCTCCTCCTCCAAACACGGAGAGTTGAGTTGATGCCAAAGAGCTCCATTTTGGTCTCATCTGACCACAACACTTTCACCCAGTTGTCCTCTGAATCATTCAGATGTTCATTGGAAAACTTCAGACGGGCATGTATATGTGCTTTCTTGAGCAGGGGGACCTTGCGGGCGCTGTAGGATTTCAGTCCTTCACGGCGTAGTGTGTTACCAACTGTTTTCTTGGTGATTATGGTCCCAGCTGCCTTGAGATCATTGACAAAATCCTCCTGTGTAGTTCTGGGTTGATTCCTCACCGTTCTCATGATCATTGCAGATCCACGAGGTGAGATCTTGCATGGAGCCCCAGGCCGAGGGAGATTGACAGTTCTTTTGTGTTTCTTCCATTTGCGAATAATCGCACCAACTGTTGTCACCGTCTCACCAAGCTGCTTGGCGATGGTCTTGTAGCCCATTCCAGCCTTGTGTAGGTCTACAATCTTGTCCCTGACATCCTAGGAGAGCTCTTTGGTCTTGGCCATGGTGGAGAGTTTGGAATCTGATTGATTGCTTGCTTCTGTGAGCAGGTGTCTTTTATACAGGTAACGAGCTGAGATTAGGAGCACACTCTTAAAGGGAGTGCTCCTAATCTCAGCTTGTTACCTGTATAAAAGACACCTGGGAGCCAGAAATCTTTCTGATTGCGAGGGGGTCAAATACTTATGTCCCTCATTAAAATGCCAATCAATTTATAACATTTTTGACATGCGTTTTTCTGGATTTTGTTGTTATTCTGTCTCTCTGTTCAAATAAACCTACCATTAAAATTATAGACTGATCATTTCTTTGTCAGTGGGCAAACGTATAAAATCAGCAGGGGATCAAATACTTTCTTCCCTCACTGTAAATGAGGGGGGAAAACCCGGAGCACCTGGAGAAAAAGCCATGCGACTTCAGGTAGTACATGCAAACTCCAAATATACAGCAGGCGTAAGGGTCGGGATCGAACCCACGGCCTCATGTATACTAGGCGAGGCAGATAACATGTGGTTGTGTTGGCCCGACAGGTCCGAGATCTTCAAGCTGGAGAAGGAAAAGGAGGATCTGATGCAGAGCGTCCGTCTATCGGAGCGCAAAAGCATGAGAATGCGGGACCAGGAGTGCGCGGAGAACCTGCGAGCCATGTTGGAGCTGCGCGAGGCGCTGGAGAGTGATATCAGCCAAGAGAGACGCAGGCTGGACGAGCTCGATGTACAGGCAGGGATTGCTCACAGACTCGCAGCCTCAAAGCATTAAAGCTCGTCACTCCACTGACTGGTGTACAGTTCAATCGAGACTGTATTAAGTGTGAAGGGACAGGTGAACAGTTGGTTTGAATTGTGCACATGGTGGGTGTGCGTGTCCCACGTGTGCGTGCTTGGCGGTATCAGGTGAAACAAATGGAACGGAAGATGGAAGCGGAGAGGAGAAAGTCAGGGGGCTCCTCTGGCACACGCACACACGTGACACGGACGCACAAGTACACGCATGTGCTGGAAAATCGACTCGACACGGTACGTCGCACAACACGTCCAGCACTCTCGATGTGCTGTGAAAATGTGTTTTTGCGTGATAAATTGTGCTTCCGGGCAGTAAAGAAGCTGGTAAAGCCACCTTTAAACCTTTTTTATCCTGACAAGATTTGGTAGCGAAATTTTATGTCACACTACCTTCATCATGGGGTTGAGACAATATCCTTCCTATTCCCAATGACATGGTCACAAATCATTGAGAGCTCAGAGCATCACATAACGGGTTACATCAATCACTGTTGGCCAATCGCATCATATGATAGGTTAAACTATTAAAAGACAAAGCACAGGCAATTTCAAGTCGAGTGGGATGTTTATGAGTAGAGATGCATTGTTGCTAAATGCGCCCACACCTGTATTTGCAGGCGCTGAGCAAGTTTAACGTGCAGCTGACCCAAAATGCAAGATTGCGAGAAGACATTGAGAGCCTGAGAGTGGAGCGTGAGCACTTTGAAAATATCTACAGGAAACTGCTAAAGGTATGAACACAATGTTGGACACCACTACCCTGGTGATTCGATTATTTGCCTCAATTTGATTTTAGAATTGATGGGAGCTTTTAGAGTTTCTCGCATTGCACCTCTAATGACTGCATGGGAAATGTGAATCATTTACCACGAATATGATTCTTTAAATAACATCTGTTTACTGATAATGCAATTCAATGCATGTAATCGTGAGCTTAAGAAGTGATATTAAGTGAATAGATTCATTATTTCAATAACAATAAGCACGTAATTTGATTGTATACAGTCGTATCTGTGATGAGGTTTTCAGGTTAGTGATGTGCCATTCAATTAGGGTTGCCACCTAGTCGGGTTTGACCCAGACAGTCTGGGAATTGGTATCTGCGTTTGGGTGGCAGCGTTTGAATTGTATTGAGTTTACCTTTATTACAGTATATTGCACGGTTTTGATTGACAAAGCATGACAGAGAAATATGTCTGGGCTTGGTCTACAGTGGAAAAGGTGGCAATGCTGCGTTTAGTAAAGTGTGATGAGCTCTCGTGTGACTGCAAGTGGCTGCCATGCCGCATTGCAGCTACTTGGAAGTCACACGAGGACAGCGAGATAGAAACATGATATTGTCCGGCTCGTGAGGCGTTGAGGCACGTTTATTTTCACAATGCAATACAGTGTGGATTTATTTATCATGTGAAAACAACCACATCTCAACACAGTGGGACACTGGCCTCCTGGGGAAAGGAAAGGTATGTTTGTTTGTTTGCTTACATTAGTTATGTCCTGCCTGTGCCAGCTGTGTACGTGGCTCATTATTGGTTCTGGACCCCAGTTACTTTGTCCTGGACTGTTGCTCTGCTCTATCCTGTGTTTCCTTGCTCTGACCCCCACTCCCTCATCTTTCTTCAATCCTGATGTGGTTCTTTATTTTTGTGAATTACTATGATATACAGTTCAATTCAGATGCTATTACTTTACATTTTCTGCTGAGGTTTTTATATTTTATGAGCAAAAATACACTATCAGTCTTGAGCTTGGACTTGAATTGTGGCAGAGAGAGTCAACAGAACGGGCAGCAGAAGGAAGGGAGTTCTAGAATTCTGAAGCAGTAGAGGAGCAGGAGTGATCTCCCACTAAACAAAGGTTGATGGGGGCTGCAATAGAAATATTTGGTTCATAGAGCTGAGAGTACATCAGGGGGTGTAGAGGGAGATGAGAGAGAAGAGATAGGTGAGCACGTGTGTTGGGGCCACTGGCCCCCGAGGTCTCTCCCTGCTGGGCACCGACTGCAGGGGTCCCGCCGTTTCCCGACCCCTCGCTGGTATGCGAACAGCTGCTGCCACCGCTGGGCTCATCGCTCGCGGGGTAAGGGCTGTCGCCCGACGGCTCCCCTCCCTGGTTCGCACCTCCGCGAGTTCGCGAGAGGGGCATGGCTCGTCGCCGGCTCCCGTACGCCTGTAAACACTGCGTTGCCTCTCCGCCAATCAAACGCGACGCCTCCCCTCACACAGCCCCGTGCAGCAATCACACGCTCTGAACGGGGTGTCAGGGGTCGGAGGGCGAATGACGTTGCTCGCACACGCGCTCGTTCAAAGGGGCCGTGGAACAGGTGTTTACGGTGGGTGTGAGCCCTCACAAGTCTCCACGGCGACAGACGGAGCGCGCACCCGTGGAAACACCGACCACCCACGTTACAAGCGTACACACACACCCACAGCACCACGTGCTTTCACCCGCTCGTCCAAACCACACGAGGCTGCGATGGGTTATTAATGATTTATTATCGGCCGACTGTGATTCACTGTTGGGTCAGTAGGGATCGGCAAGGCAGGCCTACACTATCGCCCAAGGGTCTGTACCCGATGTATCTAATTTGATAGGCTCTAAGCGGTTTTGGTTTCTCTAGCCTCAATCCCAGTACTCTCTTTCCTCTTACTCACAGTTTAGATGCACACGGCGCTCCGGTGGTCTCGTTCTCTCCGCACACTTCGACGCGTCGCACGGACGTTCGAGTGGCCGCACTGGGAACCATCCCGGGCGCTGACTTCCGGAGCAAGAAATCGCTCTACCTGTCTGCGCCCCCCTTTTAACTTTTACCTACATCAAAGAACGCCGTCCCGAGGGCCTTCTCGGCCAATTAGGTCGCCACGCCCGTTCAGCCGCATTCCCGGTTTCCATAACAATGGGTCCGCCGTTGACTGCGGCGCCGGCGGTGGTCCACGTGCGCTTTTGCTATGCTAATCAGCCATGGTTTCCGTAACAAAGGGCTCGCCGTGGGCTGCTGTGCGGCGGCGGTCCCCGAGCCCACCCACTATGCCAATCAGCCGCCCCTCTCCTGGCTTCTCCCTTCGTTCGTGGCTGCGGACCCCTGCCTGCCTTGCCGATACGTTTGTGTGGGGGGTGCGTTTCAACCGTGGTGGCTGGACAGCCCCCGCCGTGACCATGCAATCTCAACCCAGGTCACAGCGCCGCGGTGCGAATTAGCATCGGGGGAGGTCGCCCAATTCCCTGGCCGCAGGAAACCGTGAAGATTATCCCTATGAGGGCTTTTGGGTAAAAACCTGCCGGCCAGGTGACCTCCCCTCGGAGCTCTATGGGGGGGAAATGTGTGAGGGTGTGTTTATGTAGGGGGTGGTGAGGGGGAAGCGGGGTCGGCCCCGTCGCTTGGTGGTGGCGAGGTCGTAGATGGGGTGCCCGCCGAGCGGCTTCGCGGTGGCGGCATCACAGGGGAAGCGGGGTCGGCCCCGTCGCTTGGTGGTGGCGAGGTCGTAGATGGGGCGCCCGCCGAGCGGCTTCGCGGCGGCGGCATCACACGTGCAAGATAGTATAGTGTGATGGGAGGGGAGAGTGCATGGAGGGGAGTAGATTGGGATGAGAGAAAATAGAGTTCACGGCGAACAGTAGAGGTAAGCGGGTAGTGGTAGGTGTAACGGGTTCCGGAGACACTTGTAGAGGTAACTTCTTTATTACAATCCAACCAACAGTCCAACAGTCCTGATACTCTGTAACAACTCCCAGGTACACAGCCTAGGTACACAGCCTAGATACACTACTCTGGCTATGCTCTGGAACTCGCCCTCACAAGGTTGTAGAGTCGGGAGTTCCAGAGTCCCACCACTGGCTCTCACAGTGTCCCAGGGTCCTCAGATGGCTGGTCTTGGGTTTGGGTCTTGAGCTACGACTGGCCCTGATCGTCCAGGGAGCTCCCCTTTTATGCCTAGTTCCCAACGAGGGGTGGGGCCGTGTGCGCCCCCAGATATCCCACAGAGCACACACAGCCCCCCCCCCCCCCCCCCCCAGCGCCTGGCGCCAAGAGGCTTAAGCGCCTGGCCCGCCCAGAGTCCCAGAGCCCCCAGCAGCTCCTCCCTTCTTATGTCACTACATAGGCATGAACGTGTCTATGTAGAATCTTGAAGATGCTGAGCATAGTTGTAGTTGATCCAGGATTGGATTGGGAGCCAGTGGAGAGATCGGAGTATTGGGGTGATGTGGGTCTCATTTACTGATGCTGGTGAGAAGTCCAGAAGCAGCAATGTAAATCATCCGGTGTGTGGAAGAGCAAGATTTGAGGAGGGTGTAGACTGTAGAGGAAAGAGTTGCAGTAGTTGAGCAGGGAGGTTATGAAGGCGTACACAAGGGTCTCAGCGGTGGCTGGAGTGAGGAAATAGTGGAAGTCCTTCACAGTTGAGAAATGTGGGACGAAAATGAGAGCTTGGGCGCCATGACGATTCCAACTTTCATATACTCTGAACACTTTTTCACATGATGCCCTTGATGGCATTAAACCACCTACTTTGTAACTGCAGTGCTGCGTGTTTGATGCTGTAAAACAGAGCTGATGCGCCACTTAATGATACCTGTTTGGAGGCTAAAATGTATTGCTTGCATAGGCAGGGCAGGTAGACATGTGACTATGAAAGTCAAATTCAGATTCCATATGTGGCTTCCAATGTTACGTCCCAATCTCCTGAAACTTAACTTAAAGACAGATATTTTTTTTATTATAAAGACAGATTCTTCAAGGAAGGTGCAGCAAAAAAAACACTACCTCTCATCTGTGTAAATCTGGGAAGAATTATATCTAGATAAATCCTATTTGTAGTTATCTGCAAACTATACTCTTATGAGGTACGTGATAAAATGCCTCTTCATCATCTGCTAAAAATACTAGCAAAGGCTTCTCAATATAATTTGCCTTCTCAATAAATTTACAAATACAAACAAATAGACCAAAATAACAAAGGTAGAATTGTTCTTCCAGGGTTTTCGCTTGTATTTCCCATGCTGTGTGTGTATGTGCAGGAGCTGCAAGACACTCACCGCGAGATGGACATCGTCATGGACACGTCTACGGCAGCTTATGACTCCAGGTAGTAAGTTTTATTCTGATTTTTCAAGCTGAGAAAGAGTGAAAAGTCAAAACAATAAACTCCCAGTGGGCAGTACTTTCACACTCAAAAGTAAAAGTGATTTCCTGCTCAAATGAGTATGCAGCTAGTGCTCGTCTCCTGCTTACAACCCTAATCCAGGAAGCTAAAATTCATAATTCCTATGACAAGGGCAAGTCCATCCATGGGATAACCATTGTTAACTTCCCCATTAAATGGCACCCATTTATGGACCCTTGAGAGATGATGGGCTTATTTGCAAATGCGACCTGGCCTGTGAACTCTGGCCGGTGAAGAGTGTCTGTGTGTGTATGTGCCAGTTTATTGCATTCACTCATTTATTTACTTTTATTTAAAACTGGGTGAGAGTCCATTGAGCCTATAGGTATCTGTGTCATAGGAGACCACGGTTCGTAAACAAATACAGGAATAGAATGCAATTGCACAACTCTGAAAGTTTTTTTGTAAAATATCTCGAACAAAGCTCTTGTGACTGTAAGTTAAATACATTCCTTGAAATAGGCAAAACATCACAAATACAATACAGTATGCTCATTCCTCTTTACAGGAAGACCTTGTGTAGCGCGACTTCATAGAACACGGATTCATTATAGCGCTCTTTCTCCTGGAGAAAAATTTTACTTAAACATTAAAATCCAAAAATCTAAAAAGCACCTAGGAGTGAGAACACACAAGCGCCAAGGAAACGCACCTACAACCATCTTTACATTTACTCAGCTAGTGAGAGCGATGTACGCTTTGAGCCAACCCGAAACCCACCCCCTCACGATTCGACCATCACAATTCGTGGCCACGATTACCAGTTTAAAAAAAAACATATTCCCGGCAGTAGCTCCTCAAACCTCGTCTGCCACCACTGCCATGTAGGAGCACAGCAGGATGCACTGGTGAGTACTGTACATAATACTATTATAATAGTAAATACATTTGCATAATATAATAAAGTTTACCATTTGTATTATTACTAGCACGATTACCTATACCCCAATGAAGCCCTCATATATTGCTCATACGTAAGAAATAATGTTTTCTGGAGTGCATCACAATATATACAATGGTATCATGCCCCCTTTTTCGCGAGGATTCAATTACCACTCACTTCTCCATGAATGTGTCTTAAGCTCTAAGTGAGGTCGGCCTTTAGTTTATTTGGCCAATTTTCAACAAGACCCTCCACCACCTGACAGAGCCAGTCAAATCAAGTTGTCACATGGGTAAATGTGTCAATTGATTTGGGTTTTTCAGCAAATCCGAGCATTTAAAAAAGCAAGCACAATTTTGGCAATTGTTATACAACGTTTCTCTGCAGATCACATCCAGCAATATCAGATGTTATTAAGAGCTCAGCTTTCCCTTGAAAGAGCTTCCTGGTCCAGGTTCTTAAATAGGTGCCATGATGTCATCAGCACAATCATGCATGTGATCCAGTTTAAGATGGAGAGTTGATTGCTAGTTGATTGGTTGTGACAGTATGCTAACAGAATTAGAAACCATCAAAAGCATGAGTACTCGAATTTTTTAAACAAGTAATGCAGCCTCTCATAGGCGAGTTGTTGAGAGGGAACAGGCATACACAGTAGAAGATATACCTGCCGGATTGTCCCGGGTTGGCGAGACATCTCTGAGGGAGTTGTGGCGCGATGCCTATGGTGGCACATGCGCGAGCAGGGATGAGGCACGCACTAAAGTGGCGCTGCTGAGGGAGAAGGCCGACAAGGATGGCGCCCAGTACGCCACCGAGATGAAGGAGCTGCAGCGCCTGCTCGACCATGAGCGGCGACTCCGCGATTTCATGGGAGTCAAGGGGCAAGAGAGAGTCAGCTTGGAGACCGGAGCGCTGTACAGAAAAGGTTTTGCACAGCGGCCGGCATCCTCACCCACCCACCATGTTCAATTCTCACATCTCTACAGCAGGCCTGTCACACGATTTTTCACCCGACCTGTCATGTGACCTGTCACGCGCCTACTATTCATACAGACGAGGTTGAGAAAAGGCAGCGGGAGCTTGTGCAGGAGAGTGTGGAGTCGTACGAAGCCGCCTTCCAACAGATCCATGCCATCACACACGAGGACGACCTTGACACACTCGTGGGAGCCTTCATTGAGGGTGATTGTTCACACTGTCGCTGAGACTCGGTTATTTCCAAATGAACACAGATGATGCACGACTAAAGACTGACGTTCACAATGCCAAACCAATGCCTCTTGTTGCAGTGGAGGATCGTAACTTTGCACTCTTCAACTATGTGAACGAACAGAACAATGAAATAGAATATCTACAGGATCAGATTGCAGAGGTGAGTTTGTGTGAAATATTGTATTCAAAAAGTATTTTTTTGGTTAAATGAACATTGCGGTAGTGCTCATCTCCTGTTTACAGCTCTGAGTCAGTGGTAGAAATTCCACGTTCTTATGGTGGGAGTGAACCTCTCCATAGGCAAGACACTGTTGATTTACCCATAAAGTAGTGTTCGTTTTATGGACCCTGGTGGAACGATTGGTTGAGTCAAGCCCCAACCAGAACTTGAATTCACAACCTTCCCTTTGCAAGCCACTCACTCTACCACTGAGCCCCCTGACTATCAATAGTTTATTACATCACAGCTAAGGGCTCCGAGAGTTCCATTTCTTTATTCTGTTTCCGTCGATTATATGTATCCTGGTTGTTGTTTTTTTTATGCGTTGTTGAAAATATTAGTAGAATTTTAAAAGGGGGGACATTTTTCAATGTGCTTCCCAACAACAAATGCCGGGTGTGGTGTTGGCCACATTACCCTTTTGTACATTGCGCTGATCTCGTAGGCACTCACTAAAAGCACTTGCCCAAACAGTCCACGTAGGCTACATGGAGCTCCTCGTGTTTGTGAAAGATCGTGAGAGCAATGCAGGAGTTTGAGCAGCAGGAGGCGTCGCTGGAGCAGGCCCGGCAGGTGCAGCTCCGCGATCTGGAGACGAGGCAGAGCAAAGCAGCGGTGCTCACGGATAGTCACGCGGCTCAGAACGCGCTCGCCACCCGGGCCCTGCAGCGCTTGAAGGACGGTGCGATTCCTGCAAACGCCGCGCCGAACGAGCTGCCCGCTGGGGCGCCTTACAAGTTTAAAGTGATTTATGGGCGGTGTTCAAACGCATAATAAATACAAATGGAAATTTGACTGCACAGCTTGAGTTAGCATTACAGGAAAAATGGATGCATACACGGTGAAGGACCGGAAGCATAATCGACGGGGCCATGAGAGAGCGTTTGAGAATGAGAATTTAGAATTTATATACTAACATTTACCAGCTTGTTACATTCCCACTCATTTACTGTTTGCCTTTTGTGGTCTACGGAGACCGGTTGGGAGGAGGACGACTTGAGCAACAACTGCTTTAGAAGTAACATGCTTAAACACCGTATTAAAGTGGAAATGTGGATCTAATCAAGGCTATGGAAACATCAAATGAAAGGAGACAAGAGGACTGCTCGCAATGCCGACTGCGGGACCTCGGGCTCCGCCCTGAAGTCGTTACTGCTAGAACTCTCACCGGGGCTCCACTGAGAAACAGGAGAAACAGCTCAACTCATCAGAATCACGATTTTTTGCTTCTATTCAGATACGCTGAATTTGTCACCATTTTCCAAAATGGAATTGTTTGTCTTTAGTGGCCATCACATGTAGCTTAATTTGACTTAAAACTCAGATCTAAACATATTTATTCCAGAAGATGTAAAAGATTACTACAAGTGTATCCTATGTGCAAGGTCTGCTTTTAGGAATGATGTATACTTTGGTATGCGTCCTATTGATTTAAAAATAAATGCAATTTCGATTTAAAGCTTTCGTGACTGCAAGGATTCATCTTCTTGGTTCTTTTGGTAAAGTCACGTAGAAGGGAAATAATAAAATAATAAAAATAAAACATTATAAAAAATTCTCACGACGTCAATGTCAGTATGATGTATGTAATATACAGCTGTTGGCTTACCAGAGATGAGCGTTGAGTATTTGAAGAATCTAAATTATTTTGTTTAAGCAGGTGGGGACTCAAAAGACAAGCATAGTCTCACTTGCAAGTGTAACCTCGGAATGTGTGTTATGTTAAGCATTTCATTGCGTGCACACAAACTCGCGGTTTTGAGTGGCCCACAGCTGAGCGTGTCGTGCAGGGGTGGAACTGCTCTTCACGAATCTGCAGTGCGATCGATCGGAGATCGAGGAGCTGCTGTCTGGAGCAGGCGGGATCCAAGACTCCACTGTGATGCATTACCTCGGCAACATTGAGCACAAAGCAAACCATCTGCTGACTGTGCAGTCCTACCTCTCTCTTAAGGTAGACACTGCACACGTATCCGGTGTCTCTCTTGAGGAAGATGATGTCTCTATCTCTGTGTACATGCTGCCCCGTCTCCGTCTGTGCTGGGCACTCAGGATGACGACAAGCCGTTTGAGTCTCCAGATGGAGCACTGGTACTTCTGGGACGGTCTCCGCTGGAAACGGTGCCTGGCCTCGCTGTGCAGCTGCCTTCCCCTGGGTCAGGCCCTCACTCACAGCAGCACTTAAGACAATCACATTGCCTTTACTGCAGCCTACTGAGAGTCAATTCAAGTTTCGAATTTATTTTGTGTAACCAAGTGCAAGCTGAAGAGGGTAGGAGAGTCTCATATCCACGAATAACCTGGGTCACCAAAATTATAAAAAGAAAAAACATAATAAGTACAATAACAAAGTAAACCGTGTTACAGGAAAAAAAACAGTTCCCACCGAGTATTAAACATTCCTACTTTGCTAGCCCCAGTGATTGCCCATTGTTTCGTGAGGATACACGAGGGACAGTATCAGTCCCCTGGGTCATCGATACGTGTGCCCACAGAACCTCCAGAATGCGCTTACTGTGATGTTTTTGAGTGTTCTTTTGGTAGTTAATGTAAGGTGGAGAGGGGAGGGAAACCAACCCCTCACACCCATCCAACACCCTCATTTGTCACTGTGATAGATGTAAGAACACCAACTCCTCACACTCATTCATGCCCACTAACACACACACACAAAAACCCCCATATAGCCTTTAACAGACTGTTAGGGCAAGAGGGCTGCTAGCGATCACCTATTATGGCTGGCACGGCGCATGAGGGGGTGGATGGCCAGCAACACACACGTCCGCCTTTGATTCTCCAGTGGTGAGGTTTACATTCTGTGCCTGGTAATTATATAAGGATGAATCGACCTTAGGAGAGGCCCAATACTTGTTAACATATTTGTCACTGATGTTGGCTATGAGCAGCAATCTTACTCCAATCACCAGGTTCATTGTTCAGTTTGCTAACCACAATACGATTGCTCTCCAACACACAACAGCTACTATTCGTCACTAAGTGGCGGCGACCTCTCCACAGCGCTTGTGGCAGCCTAGGTGCACTTTCAGGTCACGGGAAGTATTGAAGGCTCCCTGACAGGAGGTCAAGGGACCCGGCAGATGCACCACCTGTGCTCCCCACTGTGCCAACTTTGTTGGAGGGCGACTGCCTCCAACTGCCCAATAACATCTTTCACGAGGCTCCTCCATAGAGGCTGATCTTGACACTGCTAGTACAAATCATCGGCAAGTCCATTGGGCTCCATATCCTCCTGTACCACTTCAGCCCACCTCTTTTCTAGCCTGTACTGTGCAAATGTATCCCCTTCTCTCCAAGCAAACATAAGCTACTGGGGTATGCGATGGCTGGGCATGCAGGCTACATGACCCAGATAAACAGCCTCACCTGCTCAAGGAGCTCACTTTTTCAAGGATCTGTGAGCTCACACAATCCAGTCTGATTTAACTCAGGATGGATCGATTATAGACAGGCCAGCCAGAAAGTTGCAAGCCGGTCCAGATGTTCCTTTAAAGGCATCCACGTTTTGCAAATCTAGTGAAGAGAGGGCATAACTGTTACCAAAAAGACCAATAGCTTCTTATGGGGTGATAGTTCAGGCAGCTTCCATACAGATTTGCACAGAGCCGATGAAAAGATAATGCCGCTTGACTTATTGGAAGTGAAACCTCTGCTGCCAAACCGGAGCTGGTCATAAGCACATTGGCTAGGTATGTGAACTCCTCCACTCTCCACAACTACCCCATTACAAATTTGATATTTGCTTTGTTTTTGGTGGGGCTTATGGTAAGGCCCCACCTATTTGTTGCATGCACCAAATTTAACAAAAGCATGTCTAACTCCTTCTCAGAGTGATCATCATCACCATACATAACATGGTTGACCAGTATGGAGCCATCCCTTGACCTCACCAGGACATCAGTCAGCCTCCCATTGTTGCTGTACCATATGGAAATTAATCTGTTCAATAGTGTAGGGACCAGAGGACATCCCTTTTGCACAGAGACAATAGGAAATTGCTCTGACTACTGGTCATGTAGATTTACACGGGCCTGCCCACCATTTAACTACCGAAAACATGAATATCCCAAATCCATGGCCTATTAATCGTATTATTGACCTTGACCAGGTTAACACAGCAGAGATGTAGGTCCTGTTAAAATGCCCTATACTTCTGCTGTAGCAGACGGACCAACTGTATGACATATTTGCAGGACCATGCCAGTCTGAAACCAGACTGGGGCTTCACAAGCCTCTTGGCATGGCTGGCAAGGGACACTCAGTCACACACACCCTCTCACATTCACAAAGAGGATTCTCATTCACACACTCGCACACTCACACGCGTCGCCACATTGGTGCTGTGTTATGGTAGAGGGGAACAGGACAGTGGCTCTGAGTCATCGGTTTTGGAGGAAGAGCAGCGCCCACTCACGCAAGCCGAACTTCGCGAGAAGATCATCAGGGGGGTGAGTGTTCCACTTTTCTGTTATTTCACCCTAAGTCTTGTCTCCGAGTGAGTTTTTGTGTGTGTTAAGCACCACAGTGAATGTGTGTGTGTGCGTGTTTATTTAAGCCCCTATGGGGAGCGGTAATGTAGCGGTTAGTGACCCGAGTTTGGTTCCTGCTCATGGCCAACACCAGTAACGATTATCTGAACCGGTCCTGGACCTCCCCTAGGTCGACTCGGCCTCAAGTAAGTACCTTATGTGGTATTTAAACATCGTCACTGTGGAGACAAAGGCGGCCGGGCGTTGTGCTGGTTACCCACCCCTTTGTGTGCCATGCTGGCCTTCATAGGTGCTCGCTAACAGCACTTGCCCCAAACAATCTGAAGTCTACATGGGGGCTCTTTGTTGTACCCCACAATAAGTGTGTCTGTGTGGCGAGCAGGTGTTACGCAGGGAGGAGAGGGCTGGTGGGGGGAGGCCACAGCTAGAGCAGGATGGACCTCACGACACAAGGGCTCCAATGTCTGAGCGGAGGGAGCATCATTAAGAACCTTGGCCCGGCAGAGTGGGAAAGGGCTCCAGCCCCAGGTTCCTCTGGCCGAGCTGATACACCCAACTCCACTGTTATTTTTTTAGAGGTCTTTTCTTGATGGCGCTGTTGAAATGTTCAGTTTGGTCAGTTAATAATCGTGTGACGGTGCATCTATCCCATAATTGGAATCGATCCTTATGCTCTGGGTCCAAGCATTGACTCATGCATGTGAGAGTATATTATAATGTGCAGCCTTTCGTGGATCCACTGCTGGATAAAGCTTGCCCGTGACTATCAGTTGTGGGGATTGTTTGGCCATACGACAACAATGCTGCTTGGTGAAGGTAGGTAAAAGGAAGAGGACTTGGACCAGTTCAGATGTCACTTGCCACTAATGTTTGTTCTGGCTGGGAATTGAGCACAGGTTACCAGGTATATCGTGCAGTTCACTAACCACTGCTCCGTCACTTCACCTTGCGTTGTATGTAATTGGAATATGTGACCTCTGCAGCCACGAGAGGCCTACAATGTGCCATGGGGATATAAATTAGATTGATGCTGCATTAGCAGCAGTTAAAATTACTCTCTGTTAAAATTGTCAGATCACGGTGATTAAATGATTGTTTTGTGCCTTGCTGTGATAATTGATTATGCAGTGTTTTTGCAAATATTCTTAATCCAATAAATCTTACAGAAATAAATAATCAGAGATAACGTCTAATATCCATATTTGCCTCCAAATAACAAGTGTTTTTCATACGTCTCATTGGCTTGCACGGTCTGTTGGAAGTGGATAATACCGGCAGAATTGGTTCAACAGAAGCAATATGGACCGGTTTAGACATTCAGTGAGTAATCAGCAGTCTTGCTTGAACCAATGCAGGTGAACTGCCAGATGTTTAGAGTTAAAAACTTTATTAGATTTTGGTTCCAGTTTTCCACAAAAGTACAGTAATACATATCAGATTAATGCAGTGTTCTTCATTGCAAAGCCCTCGGGTCACTGGTGGCCCCCGACAATAATACACATGTGAAAACACCCCAGCATGCTGTCAAACCCCAATGTTTTCAAATATGTGGCGCCCCTTACACTGATTTTGTCTTATCGGCGAAAGTGGCCCCCCTCTGAAAATTAGTGAAGAACACTGGATTAGAGTGTGGCTGTTGGATGTGCAATTTTTATTTTTACAAAAACATTTTTTAAATTCTTCAAAACTTGATCCAAAAAGAGTGGGCTGGACGTCTGTATTGAACATATAAACCTGCGGTGACACAGCTCACACCTTTTCTGGGCTAAACCCGAGTGGAGTCACGTAGGTAATTAGGGACAATAAGACAAGGCGGGCATAGGCACCGCAACAGTGGTCATTGGATCCGAAGGATACCCCTTTCGCAACTCGTAACGTGAGTCGTGCAGCGGTCAGGTGAGGAAGGGCTGTGGGTTACGTGTGAGTGCGTGTACATTGCTCGGAGGGGGGGTTATATCAACACTGTGAGTTACATTGCTGTAACAGGATATAATGAATCATTTGTGGATCGAAAAATCCCATATTAGGTCGCCCATTGACGCTGATTAGCTTCCCTGCGCATGAACATAATAAGTTTATCGTTCATGCTGTTGCAGATTCATTGTCCCATTGCAGCGCAGTGCACGCGGTGCGTTTTAAATGCGGGCAGCCACACCGGGAAGTGAAACTTCAGCTTGGCGCAATATTAACACCTCATGGCCCAGTGGATAGTGCCCAAATCTGGTCGCGGAGATTCACTGAACAAGGCTCACAGCGATAATGAGTGTGCGTCCCACCCCGGTGTGGCTGGGGCGACGTGATGAGCACTTTGGACAAGGGCTGAGTCGAGTCCCGGCCCTCTTGTCCACAGCCCACGTGGTTTGCCAACAGGTCAGAGGGCGCGCAACTCCCCGGGCACGCCAGGGGGGGGTCCTGTGACAGCCCTGACAACCACATCAGAACATCAACGGACCGATGTTGCACACCTGCATGAATGGGAAATTAGAGACAACCCACACAATCTAACCTATATAATTATTTTTTTGTCTGTCCGTCCGTCTGCGTACGCTCGCTTCCGGGGGATTTAGCTCTCGGACCGAAGGGTTCGCCGAGATTAAATTTTGCCGGTGGGCACGCCCCCGTCCCCGCGGTGAACTTAGGCATTTCCAATTTTTCATCTCTAAACTTTAAATCGGACCGATTATCGATTTAGAGCGATTTCTCTTTATTTATTTATTTACTATTGCCGACCGGCGCGTAACGAAGCACGCCGTTGCGCATGCGCGAAGGCGGTTGCCCCTGGCAACGGGTGGTTGGCCCCTGGCAACGGGCGGTTGGCCCCTGGCAACGGGCAGCAACGCCGTCGCTGAGGGGTGGACGCCATTTTTAATTCCCGTTAAAAATATGCGCACGCATTAACACGCGACGCTGAGGTAAATTCATCAAAGTTTCACGTCCTCTTCATTCCCCCACCACCCCAATGTGTGCAATTACTATCATAGGGTCGGTAGATAATAAAATGATAGCGATTAGACGGTATTATTGTAGCGCGGGGGGGGGGGGGGTAATGGCCACAGCACCCAGCCTCAGCCGGGTGGGCAATCTAGGCGAGGCCGGAGGCTCTGCACGGTACTAGGCCTCGACACCCCACACGTGTCAGGCGAAGACTTTGTGCTATAAACTCGATATACCCAGCGTTGCCCGGGGGGAAAATACATTTAAAATCTTCTGACAACTTTAAAACATAACATACCAATGAAAATACAACTGTGTAATTAAAGTTTTAAACCCGACCGCACCAAGAATCGATTCTCTGAATCGCGCAAAGGAATCGAATGTTGTCGACTCCTTTAGTAATCGTCTTATTCCCGTTTAATATAAGTTGGTTATAGAGTTGATATAAACTGCTACGAATGAGAAATATCCGGCGTTGACCGGGGCAAAAATATAATTAAACACTCCTGAAAACTTTAAAACATAACATATCAATGAAAATAAAACTCTGTAATTAAAAATGGAAACCTCCTACGCGCCAGGAATCGATTCTTTGAATCGCACAAAGGAATCATCGAAGGTTGTAGATTCCTTTAGAATCGCCCTATTCCCGTTTAATATACTTACGTGTCACCACGTTTGCCTAACATTTCCGACACACACATTCACACATTTAGCTTTTACATTTAACATACAAAACGTCAGCATGTACTGCTGTCATCATAGGCAAAAATATATACACCTTCACCACTCTCCCTCACCACTCCCCCTCACTCACCATCACCACTCACCCTCAACACTCTCCCTCACCACTCACTATGACTCACCACTCACTATCACTGACCACTCACCACTCACCCTCACCACTTACCCTCACAACTCACCCTCACCACTATTCCTCACTACTCACCCTCACCACTCTCCCTAACCAATCACCCTCATCACCACCACTCACCCATACCACTCACGCTCACCACTCACGCTCACCACTCACCCTCACTACTCACCCTCACTACTCACCACTCATCCTCACCACTCACCCTCACTACTCACTAATCACCCTAACCACTCACACTCACCACTCATTCCCACCACTCATCCTCACCACTCACCCTCTCCACTCACCCTCACCACTCACCACTCACCCCTCTCCTTCACCACTCACCCCCACCACTCACCCCTCTCTGTCACCACTCTTCCTCACCACTCACCCTTACTACTCACCCTCACCACTCATCCTCACCACTACTCACCACTCACCTTCACTCACCCTCACCACTCACCCATACCACTCACGCTCACCACTCATGCTCACCACTCACCCTCACTACTCACCACTCACCCTCACCACTCACCCTCACTACTCACTAATCACCCTAACCACTCACACTCACCACTCATTCCCACCACTCATCCTCACCACTCACCCTCACCACTCACCACTCACCATTCACCCCTCTCCTTCACCACTCACCCCCACCACTCACCCCTCTCCGTCACCACTCTTCCTCACCACTCACCCTTACTACTCACCCTCACCACTCATCCTCACCACTACTCACCACTCACCTTCACTCACCCTCACCACTCACTCTCACCACTCACTCTCACTACTCACCTTCACCACTCACCCTCACCGATCAGGTGTATATATTTTTGCCTGTGGTGAGGGTGAGTGAGGGTGAGTGGTTAGGGTGAGTAGTGAGTAGTGAGGGTGAGTAGTGAGGGTGAGTGGTGAGGGTGAGTGGTGAGGGAGAGTCGTGAGGGTGAGTGTGGTGAGTGGTAAGGGTGAGTAGTGAGTGGTGAGCATGAGTGGTGGGGGTGAGTGGTGAGTGGTGATTGGTGAGGGTGTGATTGGTGAGGATGAGTGGTGAGTAGTGAGGGTGAGGGGTGATGGTGAGTGGTCAGGGTGAGTGGCGGTTGAGTGGTGATTAGTGAGGGGTGAGTGGTGAGGGTGAGCGTGATTGGTGAAGGTGAGTGGTGAGGGTGAGTGGTGAGCGGTGAGGGTGAGCAGTGAGGGTGAGTGGTGATTGGTGAGGGTGTGATTGATGAGGATGAGTGGTGAGGGTGAGTGGTTGTTGTGAGGGTGAGTGGTGAGGGTGAGTGGTGAGAGTGAGTGGTGAGGGTGAGTGGTGAGCATGAGTGGTGAGGGTGAGTGGTGATTGGTGAGGGTGAGTAGTGAGGGTGAGTGGTGAGCATGAATGGTGAGCGGTGAGCGTGAGTGGTGTATATGTAATATCTCAATTACGGCGGGAGACGAGTTGACGGGGCAGCACTTATTTATTAACACTGATGCAACAGTAACAGTTACAGCCGAAATACAGTCTACGCTACGTGTGCCTAACTTGGCCACAGTAACAGTTACAGCCGAGATACAGCCTACGCTACGCGTGCCTAACTCGGCCACGCTCTCAGGCCTTCCGGCTACGCTCTCCCTACGGGGAGCTATCGGACCCGCCTTGCCAGGCACGGGTCTCGACCTCTGGGTTACACAGCCCGGCCCTTACAAGGACATCGGGCCGTGAATCCCAAGGTCTCGCCTCTGAGCCGCACAGAGTCCCGGCCCTTACAAGGGCAGCGGGGCTAGGGGTCTCAGGGCCCTATCTCTTCCTCCGTCTTCTGTCTTCACTGGTTGACTTCTCCTCGAGCGCTGCTGCGCATCGCCTTACATAGCCCTCCGTGCCAGGGGGCGGGGCCTATGCGGACTTCGATGTGGACACCTGCCTGCGGACCGTGATGTAGCCACCCACTACGCGCTGTCTCACGATCCTCCCCGCCTGCGCGTACCACCTTTACATATACTTGGTGACACGTAAGCAAGTTTTTTTAAAACGGGAATAAGGTCAGTGGTGGTGGTGAGGGTGAGTGTTGAGTGGTTAGGGAGAGTAGTGAGGGTGAGTAGTGAGGGTGAGTGGTGAGCATGAGTGGTGAGCGTGAGTGGTGAGCGGTGAGGGTGAGCGGTGAGCGTGAGTGGTGAGGGTGAGTGGTGATTGGTGAGGGTGTGATTGGTGAGGATGATTGGTGAGTAGTGAGGGTGAGTGGTGAGGGTGAGTGGTGAGGGTGAGTGGTGAGGGTGAGTGGCGGTTGTGAGTGGTGATTAGTGAGGGGTGAGTGGTGAGGGTGAGCGTGAGTGGTAAGTGGTGAGGGTGAGTGGTAAGGGTGAGTGGTGAGGGTGAGCAGTGAGGGTGAGCAGTGAGGGTGAGTGGTGAT